AGGGCCTGCAGTAACCCAGTGAGAGGCTGACACTGGCAGGGAGAGAAGAGCATCTGCGAGGCTTTCACCAGCTGAACCATGAGGCATAGGTTCCTTGGGGTGCAACGTGGCCCTTAGTGAGGATGAGGAAATACGTGAGAGGCATCCGCTGGTTTCTCCAACTCATGGGCCCGTCCAAATGGATTTCCTTCCTCCCGTCCTGGAGGTGAACAGAAGCAAAATCCTGGCAGCCGTACGCTCCTCGCTTTGCCTTTCAAGCTCTTACGTTACCTTGCAAAAAAAAGGCCGAAGGAGAATAGCAAGTTAGACTCTTCTCCGAGTCCTTTTGGCATGTTCAGTCTCTAGGCAGAAACTCAGGAGTTTCATGTTCACATGAAACAAAAGTTATAAATCCCTAAATTCTCTAGTCCCACTTTGAAGGTAAAATAAAACTGAGTAATAATAGAAGGCCCTGTTTTGCTGCTTTGACTGCTGAGAATCCTACAAGATCCAGCTGTATCATTTATTTATTTCCAGTATCTGTTTTCCCCATAATAGTGTATCTAGGGTCTGGTAGGTCTCTCTATTTGCGGACCCTAATGTGTTTCCATGCCAAGTGTAAAGTTACCAGGAATACACTTTAATAGAAACCCAACTAATGCTAAGAAAAATGCCGTTGTGCAGTTTTGTAGCAGATTCATATCTTTGTCAGCAGGGCACTCTGCCTGGTCTCAAAAGCTTTTAAAAACATTGGAGCAAACAGGCCACCAGAAAACCGACATAATGCTTTGATGCAGGCACGTGACTTTGCAGCGCGTCTGTTCATCGCGAGCACCCGGCCCGTGGGGAGAAGGGGCTGTTGTCATCCCCTCTCTGAACGACTGCTGCTTGTGGCTTGGTATCTCGCTCCTGAGCGTTCAGCCTGGAGCCTGCCCCGTCTCTCCCACTGATCAAGAGAGCCCGACAGTCGTTCATCTCTGTGTTTAAAGCAAAAATGGATGCCTTGTGTGAAGACTTGTAAAGTATAAATCAAATCCTCCATTTCTCATGGTATTTAAATGTATAACCGAACAGTTCCCTTGTTCATACTCTCTATGCCACCTTGGAGGTGTCCTAGGCTGACACTGGCAAAGCTTCCCCAGTCCCCTGCTCCTTTCCAAAGAAGAAATCGGGCTGCAGTGAGCAAGGGCAGCATCTCAGGGAGGCAGCTTTTGTCCTTGCCAAATGCAGATATGCATAAGCTGTTTCAAACAAAGCTCTCAACTCCTGCTTCCCACCAACAAGCGCTTTGTATTTTATGATGATATATATCCTGAGCTATGAAAGGACAAGGGGTACTTGAGAGCCTCGCAGATAAATCTGAGGCCATCCAGCATCCTGTGTGTGAGAAGGCGGCCTGCCTACGCAGCCTAGGAGCCTCTCTTTTTACCCTGCCTAAAACGGCAACTGTTGTTTTGTGTTCTGAAGCCTGCAGTGTCCTACCAGTTCGTGTTAATAGTTCAGTCCAGTCCACTCTCAGATTTCCTAATGATTTTCAGCACAAAAGCTTGAGCCCAATCTTTATTCTCCAGTTCAGCCCTCCATTAAACACTTTCCAGGGCTTGCTGGCACATAAAACTATAATTTGGGAACCAGGAAGCGGGTAAAGGGGTACGGTGCAATCAGAGCTAGAGCTAATGAAGGCTGTTTCAGTGGAGATGCGCTGCGTGTAAATGGGATAATTGGGGTATAAGAAAAGACAGCTTTTCTTGGCGATAACAGCAAGGCTGTGTGAATGAAAGCTTGGTGCTCTAATAGCTGTCTGCAATTTACTCAATGACAGTCTCATCTGAGCCACTTGATAAAGACCTACTTTCTCTAAGAGTTGTATTAGCAACTCCAGAGAGTATCTAAATAGAGCTAAGTGTGCACTGCTGTCTCTGTTGGCTCTTCTGCACAGTGCTAGATGCAAGATCGCAGATATGCTGCCTTCATCGGTGCCTGTCTTGTGATTAACAGGGTGAAATTGGGCCTCCTGGCCCACGAGGTGAGGATGGTCCTGAAGGCCCCAAAGGTCGCTCTGGTCCCAATGGAGATCCTGGTCCTCTTGGTCCTGCTGGAGAAAAGGTGAGTCTTAAGAACGGAGTAGCCCAGTTCTGTTTTACGGCAAAACCTGTTTCTTCTTGGACAGTCTCCGGTGGGTGGCCAGGGCAGCGCCCAGTGTGTAGTAGCAGGGGTTCAGTTTTAGAGAAGAAGGATGAAGGGGAGCTAGGGGTGCTTTACGTAAAGGCTGGTGTGAGTTGTTCGGGTGAAAAGACCAGAGGAGATGGTTGTACTGCAGTGACTCAAGTGTATTCAGAGGTTGGTCCCTTCAGGATTATTTGCTTGGGTGCAGTGTCTCGGAAAAAAAGAGACCAGGGGAAAAGAAATGGAGAAATTACAAATATCAGGGACTACAGTCTAATTTCTAGGTGCGTTGAATTGAGAAAAAGCTGGTGGCAAAAAACAGCCTTTCCCCATTAGCTCCCCAGCAACTCTTGTTCTGCGTCAAGCCCACAGAGCTTCCAGGGAGAGAAAAGCATGACTGCGATGCCCCCATCAGCTGTATTTCATCCATGTAATATCTGCCTTGCTCTCAGCTTCTCTGCACCTGACATCTTCCCTTTTTCCTGGTGCAAATTTGAAGCTGCTCCCAAGACTCCTTTCCCTCTGCTAACGTACTTTTATTTGTGTTGCAGGGAAAACTCGGTGTTCCAGGATTACCAGGTTACCCTGGAAGACAGGGCCCAAAGGTAACTCTAACATGCTCGTCCCCAGAGAGGTGTGGTGTGTGCGGACAAGACCATCGGATGCTGTCCAAGCCCTGCTCGTAGTGTCGTGCAGAGGGCTCAGTCCCCAGCTAATGAGGATAACATGGAACGGCGACTGCTTTCAGGCCAGGGCGTCCCTGAGGTTTATTCAAGCCTGAATCGGGCAGGGGGACGTTTTGCAGGAGGAGAGTGAGCAGACCTTGGCTCTTGTGCTCCTCCAAGGTGTATAAAATCCAAGGCAATGACAAATAAAGCCTTCACCCTCCTCCCTTTTGGAGGTGTTGGGTGTGCAGCGTCCTCAGCGTTTCATGCAGCGCTGTCCCTCCTCTCCGCACGCAGGATGAGTTTATAAATGGGTAAAAATAGCTCCTAGTCTTTAGTTGGTGGGAATGGGCCACGTTGCTTCAGTGTCTGGTTCTGTACCACATCAGTCTCCTGTAACGTGCTGGGAAGAGAAGCCCTGGGGCTGAGGACTGGAAAAGGCAAGGTGTGCAGCCCGCCCCCGTAAGGGCTCTGCGGGACGTTCTTGGTAAGGCATGTAAACAGACTCCGTGTGAGCTTTCAGGCTACTAATAGTGATGGTAATACTTCTCCCTGTGTTATGCTTTGTATTTTCAAAGCTCTGAGCTACTTTTAACTAATTAATTAAGGAGAATGGCTAACGAATCAGTGTCTCCCTGAAATAAGACTAAAACTGCCATTTTCAGATTTGCAAAAATCCTTTGTATCTTATCTACACACCTGCCTTCATTTGGGCCATTTTCAAATGTTCTTTTTGAATTAAAACTCAGAATTTCACTACGTAGACTCAAGCTGCAGCCTGGCTTTAACATGCCCTGGAGGCTTTGGGAACTTACGTTTTTGTTAACGTTTTTTTTTAAGAATCATTTTTCATTATTCATGTTCATTACTTGAAAAAACAGGCTTGTTTAACACTGGAGACATAATTAACTGTGAAAGATTGTTTCCTGGCTGTGGTGTTGATGTTTTATTTTTTAATTTGCATTTTATATCCGATTTTGGGGTTGTTTGTTTGTTTGGTTTTTTTGCATTGCTAATTCAAATTTTAAAAGCAGCAGCTATTCCCTAGGCACTTACATCAGAAAAGAAAAGCCAGGAGTTAAATTTTCATGAGCAGCAAAGTGACCTAGGAGCTCAAAACAAAGCTTTCCTGTTCTTCAGACATCTAATACAATTGCAAGCTTGGGCCTTTCCAGTGGCCTCTAATGAGGCATGGATCCTTTTCTTTTGTTATTTTTGGATGAAAGTTAGGTTCTGAGGTCATTTGAGGACTGTCTTTGGTTTTGTTTTTAATAAAGGAATGTTTAAAAAAAACCGTTCAGAGCTGTAGGCGTCAGCAGGCTTTTGATCAGGGTTATTCAAGGCCAGTGAATGCCTGACGTGGAGGGACAGAGTTGGCCATTCCCATTTGTTGAACCGTTCTCTCTCTTTTCTGTTTCCCCCAAGGGTTCAATTGGGTTCCCAGGATTTCCAGGAGCCAACGGAGAGAAGGGTGCACGGGTAAGAGCCTCTTGGTCTAGCCATTTTGCTGAGTTTCATCTAAAAAGCAAGGTGGTTGCTTCCACGGAGGCTGCTGGTCTGCCCCTGTGCCGGGACTCCTGGAGCTCTCCCTGGCACGTGCTTCTCCAACTTCTGCGCATGGGACTGGAGCATCCTTCAGCAGGTCTCAGCTCTGAGCAGGACCCATCTCCTCTGGGCATTTACCGATAGCTAGCAGCAAATCCGAGTGCTTCATCTCGGGCAACGCTTGGGCCGTTACTCTGGTTGGTTTTTGCGTGAAGGGGATCCCTGGCTCCCCGGGGCGCGTTTCTGTCGAACGCGCGAGGGCGGCGTGCCTCCACGTAGCGAAGAGAGCCGCGGGCACGCCAGCCCGGGAGCCGTCCCACGCGGTGAAGGAGGCGTCTCCTCTGAAATCGCTCTCACAGCTGAAGCAGCCGGGACAGTCATCTCTCCCGTTTGCAGTCTGAGATGATGTCCCTTGAGCAGATAGCAAAACCGACTCTGGGAACAGCAAGAGCCTGAAGTAGTCAGAGGCTCCTGACTTCAGCTGTTGAGAGAGATGGATGCCAGTAATAGCATAGTTAGCTCTGCAGACAGCAGCTTTCCAATTAAGCACTGGATATTTTTCCCTCAAGATATTTTAAGAGGTTTCTCTAAACCTGAATTCTTCCCTCGCTGTCAGACATTGCTTAGGGCATGAAGAGCTTTTTAATTAACAGTAATTATTAAAGAGGGGTGAATCTGTTCAGAAGCAGCAAGAACCGTCTTTGAGCTACCTTGAGATTCGTAGAGCATAGATGAAAATGTTTCTTTTGCGCGCTCTCTCTGCACATATGCACATGCATGGCTCTACAGAGTCACGCGTGTCCTCCTTGTCCGGGCGGGTGTGTATGCTTGCATGCCCGTAGTATTCTGAAGCAGTCCTGCGCTTGCTGCTCCCTTATCGATGCTTTCGGCATCTCTCTCGGTGACGCGTGGCGGTACGGCTTGCGGCTGGGCGCTGCCCAGGGCTGCGGGGAGATGCTGGAGGAGGCCGGTCCTGGCTCGGGGGGCGTGCGGCACCGCCTGGCCCTGTCCCCAGCCCCTTTTTCCCAGGCTCGCTGCTCCAGGTGTCAATCGCAGGTTGTGCTGCGACCCATCAGTGTTGGTGTAACCCCAGGGGAAAGGTGCTTTCTCCCAGAGGGAGGTGGGAAGCACTGGGGAGTTGATACAAAAACCTACTCTGGAGACAAGGCAAATACTAGCAGTGTGGAGAATATGGACAGTTTCTGAGGCACACCTGGCTCTGTTAGACTAGTGTAAATCCAGAGCTGCTCTTACACGTTCCTCCTTTCAGTAAATGGAGCTGTTCTGAATCTTGATCTCTGTGAAATGCCTTTAAAACGTGGGGCTTCACCCTCCAGGCTTGTCTCTACCTCTCCCCTTCACCCACTCAGTCAGTGTTTGCTCCCAAGTAACGATGAAGGTGTCAAGGGATTGTCTAAATAGGCTGGTGGTTTTTATTTTGTGGAAGGCAAGCTGGAGTTAGGCAATTCAGAGTACAAGTATAAAGTCGTTCTTCGTACCAGCTTACATCACGGGGGAAAAGTTATGCGTGAGGAGAGTGGGTAGAATTAGTTTCCTTTTATTCTCATTTAAATACAAATGACTTTTAACAGACGTGTTTGATAGGAGCACAGAAAACATAAATCACTTTGCACTGCATTAATGTTGCGCCACTGAAATTAGGTTTATATCTGTGAGGGGTTCCCCCGCCTCTTTTCTTCCACTGAGTAATTTTCATCTCATTGTGAGCTACAAATCTGGTGCCTTTCTGCCCCCTCCCTCCGCTCCCGCGCTCTCCGTCTCCGCTGGAGCTGCTCGGCTGGGGCAGCTGTCACGACAGGCTTGAATTCACTGCAGCCCGGGAATTACCGCACGGCTTATCAAATACGGGGCAAGAAAATCCTTGAGCTGGATTTTTGGGTGGCGTGAAACGGGGCATCGGCACCGCGGCGGGGGGCAGACGGGCTGCTTTGCGTCCCCTGGGCATCTGCACCCCTCTGGCTTCATCCGCTGGTTTTATTCCGGTGGGAGCCGCCCCCCGGGGGCTTGGGTGGCCCGCCGT